AGGCCTCGTGGTTTTTTTTTTTTTTTTTGCAAAACCAAGATTTTCTAATGTGCATATTGTTCTGTGACCTGCTGTCTTCACTTTGGCAGCAGGGGTGGGGAGGAACCTTCCTGAGTGACTGTTAGGATTACCTTTGCCTCTTACCCATATAGCCAAGGAGAGTCACCTCCTGTGGCTATCGCGTGAGTGATACGTCATGTGCTCCTTCTCAGCATGCACGCCTATCAGCGAGAACCAAGATTTTCTAATGTGCATATTGTTCTGTGACCTGCTGTCTTCACTTTGGCAGCAGGGGTGGGGAGGAACCTTCCTGAGTGACTGTTAGGATTACCTTTGCCTCTTACCCATATAGCCAAGGAGAGTCACCTCCTGTGGCTATCGCGTGAGTGATACGTCATGTGCTCCTTCTCAGCATGCACGCCTATCAGCGAGAGAAGATGAAGGAGGAGAAAAGGAAGAGTCTGGAGGCCCGACGTGAGAGACTCAGGCAGCTTATACTTGAAGAGCAGGAACTTCTGGTCAGGGAGCTGGAGGAGCTGAGGCTGAGCATGAATTTGAGGGAAAGAAGAATCCGGGAGCGCCACGGGAATCTGAAATCTGCCCGAGAAGAGCAAAGGAAACTGGTAACTGTCAGAGATCTAAGGAGGCTGGAGTGGGAGCAACCCCAGGCGGGAGGGGTCATTTCCTGGGTATTCTGGTCTGACAAGACACCAGCTAACTCCAGAGCCAGCCAGGAAAAGTGTTTACAAGTCCTGCGTAAGGAGTGCGCCTTGTAGGAGTCAGCTGTCTTCTCTTTAGTCCCTAAATCATCACAGCTGATTCCTTTTTCCTGTTCCAGTTCTATGGTCCCGCAAAGGTCTGAGATAGATTTTCTCTTCCAAAATATGTGGAAGTTCTGCCACCTACCTTGAAAGCACAAGGTCCCAAGTTCAATCCCTGGTACCAAAAAAAAAAAGAAAAGAAAAAAAAATCCCCACCACCTACCTCAAAATACGTGAAACAGTGAGCCCACTATGCTTTTTAGCTTGCTGTACTTTGGGGACCCCCTAGAAAGGACCCATCTGCAGCATCAGATTTTGGCTCCCTTCATGACCATTGCAAGAGTCATTTGTCAGCACCTTCTGGTCTCCTCAGATGCCTGCCTGGCTCGTAAGGCTGTGAGTGCAAGGCAGGCAGAGTGGAAGAGTGCAGCGGGGACTGCGTTCGAGCAGAGGAGCTCTTGGGCCGAGCTGACCTCCACTGTGCATCATTCAAAACGTGAAGGGATTTGAAAAGCAACATTAGGCTTTCCTTTTTGTTTTCTTGATAGATTGCTGAACGACTTTTGTACGAGCACTGGAAACAGAACAACCCAAAGCTTCGAGAGGTGAAAATCAAGAAGCTTCCACTGATTCTCCTGTGTAGATGAAATCATGTTTCTAGGTTTTTAAAACATGAATCTTGTGCTGGGTTGAAACAGAAAAGAGCATCCAGCTCCCTGAAAAGAGCATCAGGCAGAAGATGTGGTGCAGACAAGACTGAGTGGTTCATTAAGCTGTTTAACAAATGCTAATTTAACACTGCTGCACCTGCGCGAGAGGTGTAGTCCTGGTTCTTAAGGAGCTCACCATCCAGGTGGGGAGCCAGAGGGCAAGCATTCCAGTGAAGACTGCAGGGTACTAGCAGGTGGGCATGGGGCAGTGCCCCCAGCTCAAGTCAGGGAGGCGTTTGAAAGGATGAACCTAACAGTGTAGAGGTGAGGAAAGGACTTAGAGAGAGGTGACTGCAAGATTCAGGCCTGAGTGGTGAGAACAGAGTTAGGGAGTGGCAGCTGTCTGCATGAGGGGGACATCACACAGGAAGGGGGAGCTCCAAGAGCTAAGGGCACAGCAACCCCTCTCGCAGGAATATTGAGGTGTTGGAGAAGATGCTGCAGCAGCCCGGCTGGGGATGGGGAAGGTCTCAGCTGGGGTAGCAGGAGGCAGGAAGACGAGTCTGCAGGGATAGGAAGAGAGGCATCTTGCCTTGGTGGTGTCATTCAGCAGAGCTGGGCTGGTGGGAGTTAATCCCATTACTGATCAGCAGTTTCGGTTTAACAGTTTTCGTACAAGTTTGGTACCATTACTTTGTCTGTAGTTAGATTTAGAAACTACTGGTTGCTGAGTAATGGAGCATCTAGGTCAGTGGAGGTGAACCTTTCAGAGACTAGTTCCCAAATCACAACCCATGAACCTTCGTGCCAACACCGCAATTAAACCTGAATACTGAGATTTTAGATAACATCATATGTTAACATCTTTTGTCTTAAAAGGAAAACAACACGCAGGCCATAGTCTTGCCACCGCTGATGTAGGTACTCTTGAGCATTGTGTGGTTAGCACTAACCGGGGGGGGGGGGGGTGCTCTCCCTGGCCATTTGCTGGCTTACGTGGGTCCTCTGAAGTCATTTACTAAGAAAAGTATTCTGAACATTCACGTTAGTTACAAATGTTCCCTTTTTCAGTTGGGAAAGAAATTTTAAATTAAAATTTTCCAAAGAAAAGCTTTGGACTGAGTGTTGGGATTCGTTTTTGAATGCCAAAGACTGTCAAAGCTTACACCTCTTCCTAGAAGGTGCTGGTCTAGTAACGTCAGCCTTGAGTCACCTGGCACAGAGTATGCGGATCACAGCTGCCACAGTGCAGGGGGAGTTTTGAGGAGCCAGGCTCAGGGCTGAGCTGTCTCCCGGGGTCCTGGCATGACCAGAGGTGGCCTTTGGAAACTGCATGTCCATTTCAGTGTCTGCTGACACACTTCCTGCTGTGCCCCAGGACCACTGGGACAAGAGTTTCTGTTACAGTATTGTTCCAACCTGCGAGCTTCCAGTCCTTTGCTTTCTAATTGACTCGTGTTCAGCCTGTATGTGTTGGGCTCATCCTACACTCCCTTACTGGCCCCCTGGGTCGCTTTTGAGTCCTCAGAAAGGGAGGTCACCGTCATGTTCTAGTGGGTGGCACAGAAGGCAGTGTACCGTCCCCCCAAGTGGGTGCGTCTCACATGAATGAGGAGGAGGCCAATATTCTTCCCTTTCTCATCCTCAGATTGAGACGGACCTTCACCGGAAACATGTGGTAGACTCCTGGGAAACACAGAAAGAAGAAAAAAAGCAGGTGTGATACAGGAGTCTGGCGGTAGTCCCACACGCAGAGGTGTGAGATTGTCTCTGTGTCTCTAGGTTTGTTCTCGTCTTCAGTGTTACTGACCCCGGTTGAGCAAGCTCTTTCTCAGTTAATTTGCCATGTGTTAAAAGTGAATGTTTGCTCTTCTGCATTTTAGGATCCTGGGTGATTAATCCCTGGGCAGAATAAGGCCAGGTGACCCAGGCTGGTAGGTGATAGGTGGAACGCGTGTCTTCAAGGGCACTTTTTTCATCACTGGAGTCATTTGAGGAAATTAATGTCATAGACTCAGCCCATACCACGCACCTGTTGCTTTGCCTCCAGCTTCATTCTGCCATGTATTTTGCTGACCGGTGGGAAGGGGAGGAAAGCAGACGTTTTGGAGCCAACGCCCCCCTGCGTACCCTTGCCCAGGGTCAGTGCTGAAGAGGGGCATGCTGTGGAGCCTGCCCAGGCCCCAGGGCCTGGTGCGTGGAGACGGAGAGCTGGGTCTGCTGGGTGCTTGTTACAGGTACTGACCTCCCAGGTTCATGTGGCCTCTCGTAGCAAGAAGCCACTGAAGAGCGAGAGAACAAGCGGTATGAAAATGAGTATGAAATGGCCCGAAGGGAAGCGATGGAACGGATGAGAGCAGAAGAGGAGAGGAGGCAGCTAGAGGACAAGCTGCAGGCCGAGGCGCTGCTGCAGCAGATGGAGGAGCTGAAGCTGAAGGAGATGGAGGTGAGCACGAGCCCTGTGGCCACCAAGGCTGCCTCTGCTGCTTGTGAGCATGAAATGGAGATTAAGCCGCTCACCTAGGAAGATCGTAGCTGGGGTGGTGACTCAGAGCTGCCCCAAGAGCTCGGTTCACCTTTCTCATGTTCCCCTGCGCTGCTTCTCCCGTGCTCCTCGGGTGTGTGCCAGGTCCTAGAACACTAAAATCTGGAGGTAGCTCCTGCCCCAGTAAGTGTGTTGAGAACCTTGGGGGAAAAGATTTTTAAAAAAACCCCCAAAACAAAAACCCTTGGAGAGTCTAGCACACAGCTCTCCACTGGCAGCAGATTTTGGTCCAGGAGGCTTTTGTTGTTGTTGTTGTTGTTGTTACTGGGGATTGAACTCTGGACCTTGTGCTTTTGAGGTAGGAGGAACCACTGAGCTAAATTCCCAGCCCCAGGAGGCTGTCTTTTGACCACAGTGTGCTCAGGTTCCCTCAGAGGACTTGGTTTAGAAGCACCTTCCCATTCAGGTGAGAGGAGGAGTCCCATTTCCCTTGACCTCCCATCTTCTCTTCCTCTGGCCTGAATGTTTTAATAACTACATATTTGGTTCCTACCACTAATTCTGGGTGCTACAGAGCACGAGCCGATCTTACTCCTGGCTCACTGTGGTTGCTGTGTCAGGTGGAGACAGATGTCAAGTACGGTGAGTGTGGACCGTCACAGGAAGTCCGTGGGGCCAGGAAAGGAGCTTACAGGAAGTGGCTTAGGTGAGATGAGACAAGGAGCCGAGAGCCCCAGAGATGGAGGAGATCTTGAGCAGCATGGTGGCGAGGGCCAAATGGAGAATAACAAAGATCAACTGCCACCACCTTAGTGTGGTTTACCATTGTAACCACAGGCAACGAAACTGAAAAAGGAGCAGGAGAATCTCCTGAAGCAGCGATGGGAGCTGGAGAGGCTGGAGGAGGAGAGGAGGCAGATGGCAGCTCAGCGGCAAAAGGCGGAGCTGGGGTGTGTGTGGGACACCTGCCCCGCTTCCCAGGCGGGCTGGCTCCCACCTTCCCTGACTTGCACTGGGCTGCCTGGAACCACGGAGGATGCGGCCTGGAGTGAGAGCCGTCTTACCACCACTTAATTCCTTGTAAGGTACTGAAGGCAGCCTACGGTTTGCTCATTTTTAGGCGCTTTCTGAGACACCAGTATAATGCACAACTCAACAGACGCACACGGCAGATCAAAGAGGAACTGGTGAGTCTGAACAGACTTCTGGACGTTTTTTCACTCTCTTGAGAAAAATGATTTTCCAGTGCTCTGTATATGGAACATCCTTGGCAGAATTAAAACACAGTGAAGGGTAGGCGAGTGGGGAGATGCTGGTAAAAGCATATAAACTTCAAGTTATAAGACGAATACATCTAGAGATCTAACGTATAGTTAACGCTGCACTGTGTACTTGCAGGGCAAAGGTGCAGCTCAGTGGTACAGCACACGCTTAACAGGTGCAGGGCCCTAGCTTCGGTATCCAGCACTGCTTAAAAACATACATCTGCTAAGAAAGGAGACCTTAACTGTTCTTGCCACACACAAAGGTTGGATGCATATGTTAATTAACTTTATTGCAGCAATCCTTTCAGTGTATATATGGATCAAACATTAAATTAGCTGGGTATGGTGGCATATGTCTATAATCCCAGCTACGTGGGAGGCTGAGGAGGAGGATCACAAGTTCCAGCTTAGCTTGGACAACTTGGCAAGATATTAATAATGATAATAATAAAATGCGGGCTGAGAGTGTAGTTCAGTGATAGGGCTCCCTGTTTTGATCGGTAGTACCACACATATATAAAACATATTTCAATAAAGCTATTTAAAAAACAACACAGTGAGATTCCTCATGCGGTCTCCACTCTGTTGGAGATGTATACTTACATCTGCTAGATATATTTACCTGTGCTCACATATAGCAAGGGCTTTCCCACCCTTTGTGATTTTGTTTGGTTTGGTTGTTTTGAGACTGGGTTTTGCTTTGTAGTTCAGGAAGGCCTTGAACTCACAGCGATCCTTCTGCCTCAGCCTCCTGAGTGCTGAGACTACAAGTGTGCACTACTATATCTGCTTCGTTTTGGTTTTTAAATGTAATTGAAGTTGTATTCTTCAGCATATCTGTAATTGAAGTTGTATTCTTCAGCATATCTAACAGTACCTCTAAGAAAAACAATTTTTTTAAAGATTAGGTTTTTGTTTGTATTTTAAAGTACTGGGGATTGAACCCAGGGCCTTTATGCTGAACTATGTCCTCAGCCCTTTTTATTTTTTTACTTTGAAACAAGGTCTTGCTAAGTCATTTGGCTGCCCAGGCTGGGCTCAGACTTTGATCCTCCTGCCTCAGCCTCCCAGAGTGCAGGGATTGCAGGTGTGTCCTTTTATGCAAAGTTAAGATCAGTGTGTTTAAACTGAATTTTTATTTTATTTTGTTTTTAAATTGAATTTTTAAAAGTAGCCACTCAATGTACCTGTTAAATATTTAAAGGAACAACCTTGTCTTGGAAACCTGTCCCTGCTTGCTCTGGTCAAAGCAGACCACCAGGTGGCAGCATCACTGTCGTTCCTGATGTGCAGCCCCGCCGCCTCAGCACATCTTTTCCTCATACACTGTTCTGGGGGGTGGTGTGTGGGGGGGTGTCTGGGTGTGTGTGCATGCGCGCGTGCACGCACGCAACATAATGACGTAGGTCAATCTGAACTGGCCAGTCTGAATGGACAGCGGGGCATTTGGGTTGTTTCTGGTTTTTCCCTCTTCCATTAAAGCTTCAGGTGCACATATCTTTGTGCACCTGTGCCAGTGTAGTCTGTCTTCTCAGATGTGGAATTGCTGCGAGGTGTGTTCTGAAAAGCTGTGCTGTCAGACATGTCCAAGGCTGTGGGGGGCACAGGGTGGTGAGAGGGGCTCTCCCTCTAGCCGGAGAAAAGCTCCAAGCCGAGGCAGTGTGTGAGCCAGCCCTGCGTGAGTTTGTTGTGGAAAGTCAGACACTGTCCCTCCCTGTCTGGACAGCGTGGAGGCCCCGAGTACCTGCCTCCCGGTGTGGGAGGAAGGGATGTGCCTCTGGAGGGGTGGGGCTCTAATGCCCATGACGGTGCCCTAGGAGGCAGACAAGCGGATCCTGCAGGCGCTCCTGGAGGAGGAGGACCAGCAGCAGCGCATCCAGGCGGCCCGCCGGGAGCAGGCTGTGACTGATGCGGTCCACATGAAGCAGGTCATTGAGGAGCAGCTGCGGCTGGAGAGGGCGCGTGAGGCCGAGCTGCAGGTGCTGTTGAGGTAAGAGGTGGCTGCTGCCCAGTCAGAGGCTCCTGGCCTTTGTTTCGGGTCCCTGAAGTGCCCCTGAGGTCAGCCCGAGGACCACCTGTTAATGAAACATCATCCTTCTTAATTTGTCCCTAATTCCCTAGGAGCAGGTCTTTGCTCATGGATGTGTTCCCTTTAAGTTGAGATGGAAATCTTTACACTTTAGCCTACTGATCTGTTCATAAAAAATCCTAGAAATGTGAAAGGAAATTGTTCCAATCTATGCAGATGTTGAATGCCTCTTGGGTCTGTTAAAACGGTTCTGGTACTTTTTTAAGAAATGTAGTTTTGAGACAGGGTCTTGTGTTGCCCAGGCTGGTCTCGAACTCCTGGGCCCAAATGTTCCTCCCGCATCATAGTCTCCCAAGAAGTTGGGAACAGAGGTGCATACGGCTGCTGCTGCTGCTGCTGCGGCACTCAACTTGGGGCCTAGGAGTTCAACCAGTAATTGAAGTAATCCCGTACCAGGCAGTATACATTGAGGCTTACGGAGCCAGGTACCATGCAGAGTCCGGTCAGTCATTGGTTCCAGCCAGGTGGTAGGTATGTGGGACAAGGAGACTCGAGGTGGTCACCTGCCTGCTGCAAAGTGAGCTAGCAGTGCCTCAAGATGTATGGGGACAGGGCTCAGGCACAGGTAGGTGTTCTCCTCGTCTCAGTGTTAAATAGCTGCAGTGCAGTGGGCATGGGGTGCTTTTCGTGAGGGGAGGAGGTATGAACAGGTAACTGAAGATGTGTCGGGTAGCGCTCCTTCTGAGAGTGTCGCCCTTGCCTGTTAGCTTTAATTAATGAATGAATTAATTTTTTTGGTACTGGAGATTGAACTCCGGTCCTTGCGCTTGCAAGGCAGATAGCAGAACCACTGAGCTAAATCCCCAGACCTTGCCTGTTAGCTTTAAAAAGTTGGCACAGGAGCTGGGGATTTAGCTCAGTGGTTCTGCTGCCTGCCTCACAAGCACAAGGTCCTGAGTTCGATCCCGAGTACCAAAAAAAAAAAAAAACAAACAAAAACATTTTGGCTGGGCATGGTGGCACATGTCTGTATTCCCAGCACTCAGGAAGCTGAGGCAGGCGGATCACTGTGAGTTCGAGACCAGCCTGGGCTCCATAGTGAGTTCCAAGTCAGTCTCAACTACATAGGGAGACCCTGTCTCAAACAAACAGTTGGCACAGGTGTGTTTACTTGAAGGTTGGCCCACAGGAGATGGGCACTCTGCATCCTGTGTCCTCTGGTTCCCTCCTTGCCATCAGTGGTGGTAAGGAGCCTGTCATCTGTTTATGTTTGCCCAGGGAGGAGGCCAAGGAGATGTGGGAGAAGAGAGAGGCTGAGTGGGCCCGGGAGCAGAGCGCGCGGGACAGACTGATGTGTGAGGTAATCCCAGCCTTGTGGGGCTCGGACGGACGTTGGAATCGGTGGTCGCATACAGATCCCACGTGTGTTCTGGGAACAGTCTCCTCTGGTGATCTTAAATGAGGTTTAAAAATCACTGTGAAAGGAATATAAGCTTATCAAGAAGGGATTCAGAAGTACAGAAAGTAAAAATGGTAGCGCACTTGCCCAACATGCACAAGATCCTGGGTTTGATCCCCAGTATCACAAAAGCGAAAAGGAGGGAACAAGGGAAGGAAGGAGAAAGAAGCAGTGCAAGTCATCTGGAGCCCGCCCTCCACAGGCACTGTCACTTTACTTCCACTGCTGTTTCTATGCAGGATGTCTTTCCTACATACACTTTTATACTTGAGTTCAGGCTTTTAACATCATAATGCACCTTGAAAGAACCGAGTTGATGGCATCATCACAAGGATACACATGGTTTGCTTTTCCAGTCCCTTCTTGTGGGTATTCAGATTTTAAAAATTTTGAGCCATTATAAGAAACATGCTGAGGGCCAGAGATGCAGCTCAGTGGCTCCAGACCTGCCCGGCAAGTGCAAGGTCCCGAGTTTGATCCCCGGTACTGGGAGAAAAAGAACTCCAAGGAGTAACTAGTGCATGGGGGTTCTCCCTTCTGAGGACATACTCCTCAGGGTAGACGAGCAGAAGTGAGCCAGAGAGCGTGTGTGGAAGACACCCCACTGCAGAGAGGTCTGCGGGGAGAGTTGTTTACCTCTGCGGTGGAAGCCATTGTCGGAGAGGCTTAGAAGTGGAAAACATGGTATGCCTGCCAGTGGGTTACATTTTGAGACCCACAGGAAATTGGGCCCCAACTGGTGACGTCTCACTTTTTTTTGTTGCTTAGTGAGACAGGGTCTCGGTGTGCAGTTCAGGCTGGCTGTGAAGGCTCTGTATAGTCCAGGCTGGTCTTGAACTAGAAGTGATCCTCCTGCCTCAACCTCCTGAGTGCCGGGATTACAGGCGTGTGTCACCACACCCAGTTGATTTTTACTTTTTATCCTTCCCCCATTTAAATCCTATGCCCCCAGTCCTGGCCACTGTGTGTGTCCTCTCCTGAGAGTGTAGCGTTTGGCCTCCTGGTTCCCAGGTCCTCGCTATGACCTGGGCTGGTGGTGAACATCACCCCAAACTCCGTGGGTTTCTGCTACTTGGAGCAGTAGATATAAATGCAGAAGTTCAGGACGACGACCCAGACACCCTGTCACCTATGAAACGTGTTTTCTTTCTCTCTGGAACCCACTGATGGGTGAACCTCGCTTTGTTCTCGTAAGGTTCTCTGTCCTCGCACGGAGGATTCCAGCTTGAGTCCTTTGCCATTGTTGGGACTCGGCCGTCTCCGTGAAACACCCACCCTGCCTTTAGTGAGTCGGGTGCCTCTTGCACAGCAGCTGGCCGAGTCCAGTAGTCCAGGGCCTGTGCAGAACGGCCTGAGGCTGAGGACTGGGCTGGGTGTTGGTGTAGTTTTAGCTCATCTCAGGCTGTTTATTCAAATGGATATCTTCCTTTTCCTGTCTGTGAGGACAGGTTCTGACAGGGAGGCAACAACAAATACAAGAAAAGATTGAACAGAACCGACGGGCACAAGAGGAATCCCTAAAACACAGGGAGCAACTCATTCAAAATCTTGAGGAGGCGAGAGAGTCAGCACGGCAGGCTAAAGAGGAGGATGAAGAACTGAAGTCCGCCAGGAAGCAGGAGCTGGAATCCCAGGTGGGGCTGAGCCTGAGGGCAGAGGCAGCATCAGCGCAAGACAGAATCAGAGGCCCCTAACTCAGTGCAGCCATGTACCTGGACCCTTCTGACTGGGGTCATACTTCGCTTCAGGTCCCTTACCTTCGGTGGCCGTCAGGCTGGCACTGCTGTTTCTCTTTGTGCTGTCTGCATCTGTAAGCAGTTAGTTCACTGGGCCACCATGGGCAACCAGAATGTTCTCCTAGACATGTGCCACCTTCTAGTACCGCCACACGGCCCCTTCTAGTCCGCCGAGCTCCCTTCCATTTCCAGTACCTGTCATCACTGTCCCTTAGCTCCTCCTCCAGGACACCAGGACCACAGGCTCCCCTTCTGTCCAGGGCCTCATCTCAGGTTACTTTGTCCTTGGTGCCCAGGTTGCAGAGCGCCAGCTGCAGGCATGGGAAGCGGACCAGCAGGCGGAGGAGGAGGAGGAGGAGGCCAGGCAGGCAGAGCAGCTCTCCGACTCTCTGCTGCAGAAGGAGGCCGAGATCATGGCTGAGCGGGGCTACCGGCCCAAGGTAGGTGCTAGCCCTGGGCGTGGCTCTGCTCTCTGTCTTGCTCCTTCCTCCTCGTCACCTGTGTTTATCTCACTGGGCCGGCAGGCATCCTCAGAACAGGGTCTGGTTCAGTCCTGGCTGAGCTTTAAGTATTCCTCAAGGTGCTTTTTCTTTGGCTCCTCCTGCTGCCGCGTGCAGTTCAAAGACCGGCTCCTGACGAGCCGTGTGCCCAGACACCCTGTCTGAGGACAAAGCGCACTCTAAGAAGAGCTGCGGCCACAGCCAGCAAGAGGTGACAGTGGGCTAGCTCCCAGCTGCTCATCAGCCACTTGCTGGCCTCCTGACCTGTCCCCTCTGGCTGATCCTCTCCTCCCTTCCCTCCTGTGCATCTTCCTTTCCCTGCTCTTGCGGTACTTGCGTGACACCTGCGGATGGCACCAGAGGCAAAGACTCACCCCTCCTCTGGGGGTGCTGGTGACAGCCTCTGCCCACCTTTAGCCAGGAGTCCCCGGGAGTCCGGGGTGCATCCTCTAGGAAAATGTGCTGCAGAGAAAGAGGGCTGGCTGCCTCACGGTCAGGCAACGAGAGAACCGAATGGGAGAGCGGGTCTGTGCTTATCTTAGAATGTTAACGCCCTAAGACACAAGGGCTCAGAGGCGCAGAGAGCAGCATTTTCTAATCGCACCTGAGCATGGAGCACTGAGTTTCTCAGGGTCCGGGTTTCAGGGTTTCATAGAGTACTTAGGAAACTGTTTCTTACGGCAAGTTATAAAGGGCCTCATTTATAGCTTAGGATGAAAGCTTTTTCAGCTGTAAGTCAGTCATTTATATTGTGCTTTAAGCTCTTAATTAAAATGAGGCTAAAATTAAAATGAGACTACTATAGGGAAGGGTGAAGTGGGTGAAGGGAGGGCAGGGCTATGGGGAAAAACAAGAACCAAGATATCATGTAAAGGTACAAGATCCCAACAATAACTGTAACTGCATTGTTTGCTTTAAATGTGCCAATAAACTTAATGAAAAAAAAATGAGACTACTGATCTGATCAGTCCTTTCTTTCTTTTCTCAGCCTTATGGACATCCCAAAATTGCTTGGCACTGACTGCTTTGGTACCCTAAGGACAGAGAAAGATGCGAAGTCCTTTGACACAAAGCCACCAGATAATCGTCAGTGACCCAATCGTGCACCAGACAACTGTGCAGTGTCTGTTGATGACCCCTGGCCGGGTACATGACCAAGTACACTGATGGCCTGGCCAGATGACAGGGTGCCCTGGACGTGCAGCACCGGGAGTGGCCCTTTCCTGCCTTTCTCATCCAAGACAAGTCCTGTATAGGCTCACGTTTACAGTGCTGTCACACAGTCCTGATTTATAAATAATGCAGGGTTTTAGATGGATCCCAAAAGGTACAAGTTGTATTCCATGACAGATACGTGCTTTCCTGATGTCAGCCTCTTAATGAAGACTGGCTAGAGATGGAAAGGAAGTTTTGTTTTATTGGATTTTTTTTTTTTTCCCCTTCTCAGTGCTGTGAATTTAACCCACAGCTTTGCGCCTATTAGGCAGGTACTGAGCTATCTCCTCAGCCCAGTTTTTCAGTTTTTAAAATTGCCATTTAAATTAAACTATTCTATTTGGATCCCCAGTACCAAAATAAATAAATGAATAGGGCTGGGGGGAAAATACAGTAAGTAAACAAATAATAAAATAGTCTATTGAAAACAAACTTGGAGGTCTTGCAGTTTATTTCAAGTTTACTCATTTAGAAGTCCCAAAGGAAGAATATAATTTGGGTTTTTTTTCGGGGGGGTGCTGGGGATTGAACTCGGGTCCTTGCGCTTGCGAGGCAGGCCACCGAACCGCTGAGCTAAATCCCCGGCCCCAGGAAGAATATAATTTGGGTTTTTTTTCGGGGGGGTGCTGGGGATTGAACTCGGGTCCTTGCGCTTGCGAGGCAGGCCACCGAACCGCTGAGCTAAATCCCCGGCCCCAGGAAGAATATAATTTGGATACATCAGAATCCTCAGTCTGATGGGTGGTTTCTTCTTTTTGGTACTGGGGGTCGAACTCAGGATCTTGCGCTTGCAAAGCAGGCAGCAGCACTGCTGAGCTAAATCCCCATCTGTAGATGCTTTTTCTGGAAGAAAGGTAGTGAGGAAAGAGTCTTCTCCATCAGGAAGAATTTTGTTAGAATTCCCACGGAGCATTGATGCCAACATGCACACTCCTGAGCCTCAATGGTCACCTGCTTGGCAGGCCTTTTAGAAGCAGGAATGTGACAGTAGGGACCCCTGTGTCTTGGGAAGTCTCAGCTACCTGCAGCCTCCTGGGATTTATGTGCCCACAGGCAGGAGCTGAAGCTGAAGAAATAGATGAGACTCAGAACCACAGAGCAGCCCCAGGTTTCTCTCACGGTTGAATTAACATGACAAGAGTTCCAGATTCATCTCTACAATAGCTGCTGTTCCCACAGCAATAATCAGATTTTTATGACTCATATTTTTCCATATCTTCCTGTTTTAGTTTTCATTATATTTAAGATTCCATATCTCAATAAATTACAGCTAGTTATGGCATTTTTCTATGGTTATTAAAAATCAGAGTTTATTAAAAAAAAAATCCCGAGTCTAAAGGCTGTATTACCTCTCCCTTCCATTCTGCTGTAAAAACAGATTGAGCTACAAACTGTGTCCTAGTCTGTTTTTCATTTTCCTATCTTGAGTCCTTTGGATGTGATCCTGAGCCCTGCTGCCCCAGACTCATCTTTATTTCCCATTTCAGATGTTCATTAATTATGAAATAAGGTCCTGCTTTAACAGCGTCATGTCCAGGCTTTGTTACTATTGTTTTTTTCTGCAGCACAGTGGGTTGCCAGTGATAGATTTTTATGATTTAAGGCATATCTCATAAGTTAGGATTTATATGACTAGGTTTTTTGTGTGTTTTGTTTGGTTCTGGGGATCGAACTCAGGACCTTGCACTAGTGAGGCAGGCAGTGGAACCAGTGAGCTAAATCCCCAGTCCTGACTAGGTTTTATTTACACACACACCACAGTACTGGGGATTGAACCCAGAGCCTTTGAAATGAACTATGTGCCCCAGCCCTTTTAAGAGTTTATTTTGAATTAGGGTCTTGAAAAACTGCTCAGGCTGGGCTCAAACTTGAGAGAGACCCTCTGGCTTCACCCTCCCAGGTGGGAGGATTACAGATGTGTGTGCCACCATGCCTGCTTTGACTAGTCATGTTGTATAGGTTATATTCATTTATTTTCTTGTGGAAGCGGTGCTCGTTTCCATGGAAACCACAGAAAACTATTAGCAAACATACACTGAACTGCAGTAGAGAATCAATGAGGACAGAATGCCCAGCAAACAGGCACTCATATTTACTGAATATTTTTTTGAAGCCTGACAGCAGTCTTATTAGCTTTAAAATTAGGTTACACTGGTTCTCTTAGTTTTATATTTCTTCTCTAGTCTGGGCCAAAGTACTTATTTTTTAAATTTAGAGCTTCTACCTCTTATTGTTTCTATCACAACCCATACAGACCTAGCACATAGGTGGTCTTTTGTTTGTTTTTTGGCAGGGGTTTATTGAGACGGTCTCACTAGGTAGTTGAGATTGACCTGGAGCTCACTGTGTAGCCCACGCTGGTCTCCAACTCTAAGCAATCCTCCTGCCTCAGCCTCCTGAGTGCTGGGATGACAGGTGTGCGCCACCATGCCTGGCGCCCATAGCTGTTGTGATTATGTGGTTCGAGGTATGTACAGTCACTGCTTAACCATAGAGATTCCTTCTGAAATATAGGAGATGTCCTCATTGAGGAAACACAGAGTATTTATACAAAGATGGTGCAGCTGTAATGGTATACACCCTACAGCAGGTGGTCTGTCACTGATCCATTGTTATGTGGTGTAACTGCATATCACTCTTCTTATTTCTAAGTACCTTTTCCTACTTCAAAATAATGATCTCCAGATTATTCCTCAGCAGATTCTTCCAAAGGTCAGTCCGTTATACCAGATGGTGTTGAAGGCACTGGCAACGTGAAATAATTCTCGCAGTACTCTAAACCTTTTCTCGCTCTGCTCCTCACTCAGCGTGCATTCTCTGTAGGGAGACGAGTGGGAGCAGGTCAGGACACTGCCAGTCTGCACAATTCCCAGTTCATACATGTCAGATGCCCTTGGGTTAGAGAGCTGGAAGTGGACCTCTTGCGACATTCCAGTAGTCCTGAGGATGGCGGGGGAGTTGGGCTGTAGAGCAGAAGATGCCTTTATACTGCTTTAGCCTTTCTTTCAATTTGGATCCGGCTGTAAGTTGCCCATTTTTTGACTGCCAGTTTAAATCTTGAGTGTGTGTGCTCAACTTCGGAAGCTCTTTCCATGCACGTTCAATCATACGAGCTAGATTTTAATTATAAACTTTCCGGGCATTACATCCACGCTATGGTATTATTCCAGATTCTCAGTTCAAACTGCTTGTGCTCTAACTGGGCCATGGAATCGTTCACACATTCTTGCCAGCCAGTCAAGGTCACTGTCCTGACCCGAGGAAGGGGCTGGAATCTCATGTCATTTCATACTGAGCAGCCAGTCCTTCAGACTCATTTCTTACTATGTCAAGTTTCAAAAGCAGAATAATCTGGGGCTGTTAAGAGCTTCGCAGGTTGTTATCTCTGAGTTTCCTCCTCTACCAGCACTGCCTCCACTTCCCAAATGCCTGGTGCTTCGTGCCCTTGATCAAAATATGGCAGCTCATACACCACTACCTCTCCAGCCACCAGCCTCATGTCAGCCACTGCAGGGACAGGAGTCTTGCCTATGTTTTCTATGTTCTGATGGCATTTTCATCAAAGAAACCAGCACCTTAGGCTGCCTGCTCTAACACTCCCAAAATGGCAGCCTCACTCATAAAAGCTGATACCCATCATTAAAGTGTGAGTTAAACTAGTGTATCCATTCAACTGATACCACGTAGCTCTAAAATTGAACGCCACAGAGCAAACTCACTGAAGAAAAGAGAAGGGAGATAAGTTCCCTTTCTTTATATGTTCAAAAATAGGCAAACTAAGTTGTCCCTTACAGGTTCCCATAAAAGTTTTTGTACTAGTTACTTACCCAATCACTGGGACAAAACACAGGACACCAACTTAAAGGAGAGGCTCACGGTCACAGGGGGTTCAGTCCGCATAGCCTGCTGGCTCGAAGGCAGAAACCGCGTGGGAGATCAGCACTGTGGAGGAAACACGTTCCCCACATGGTGACCAAGAAGCAGAGAAAGTAAGAGGGAGACAGCACCTCCAGTGACCAGTTCCTCCAACCAGGCCCCACCTTCCAACGGCACAGTCAGTTAGATCCAATCATCTTTCAAAAGCCCCACCTCTGAGAATGAGACCTGGGGGCACATTTTAGATCTAAACCATTAACAGTTTTGTTCAACTGCACTTAAGTCAAGGGAAGGAGGCCCCGGCCCGGGAAAGGCCACCTTCTTTCTGTTCTGTTACCTGGTAGTAAGTAGCACACTGGTAGGTTGGACACAGGAAGAGTGTATAGCAGCTGGGTGACCCCTCTTGGGATCAGTCTTTCACCTACGAAATGAGAATGAAAATCTGAAGGTGCAAGACAAAAAAATATACAAAGCACAGAGCTTAGAAAAAGCTGTTATTCTCATGAGGATGCCTCCCCACAGGAAATCACCTACTAGTACGGAGTTGCCTGTGTCACTGCCAGTGGCCTTGGGCAGGAGTCTCACCGATGAAGGCAAAACAGGTCAGGCTGAGGCTACACCACCCCTTTTCTCCTGAGTCAGAAGCTCCCTCTACCCTTGGCTACCCCCTCCTCCTACCCTGGGGACCTCCTACCTCAGGCCAGAGGCACAGGGCTGCTCTGTAAGTTGCTGCTTGTGTATTCTGTGAGGTCCTGGAGTCATTCCTACTTTTCCACTTGGCAGTGTCCTCAGTAGAGAGATCAGAGTCAAACTGTGCAGCGGTTACCAAATACTTCAGTTTGAAACAAACAAAAGATGAGAAATATGTGTGGTAAAAATAAGGAACTGGCAGATAAAACACAGACTGGGCCACCCAGGCCAACTGCTTTAAGCTATCTTCCTAAGGCAAGAGGAGGCCCCACAGCCAGCAGCACCTCCCCAGGGAGGGGAGGAAGGCAGTGGGTAGGAAGAAACCAGCATTTTAGATCGCCTGCTCTGACACTCCCAAAACAGCAATGTTAAAGGAGCTGGAGCCACTGAGCCTCTACTCCCTCCCTCCCACTGTACCTCTGCCAAGGTTGCCGTCATTCCTCACCCTCTCTGGTTCCACCCTGGATATCCACCTGTGCAGCAGAGCCTGTGGTTGAGAGCACCAGTTCGTGCTGGGCTCTCGGCCCAGCCTCAGCTTCCCCATCTGCAAAATGGGGTAGTTTCAATTCCTACTTTTTGAGAATGCTTTGGTAACTAGTGGGAAAACATACAGAGCCCTCAGCCCCTGTGGTCAGAAAGAAGCAGGCTGGGGTGGGAAAGAACTGAAGGTGAGGTCCTGGGAGTGTCTGGCTAAAAGGGGACAGACAGCCACTAAGAGGAGAAAGATGCCACTGTTAGGTCCTACAAGGGCAAACAGCAAAACCAAGGTGTATTTCAAATCTTGTCTGTAAAGTGGCCCAGGTGAGAGATGGGGCTTACAAGGCCACACTGAGAAAGAAGGCCAGGGCCAGGCGAGAGGGAATTACTTGGGCTTCTGAAAGGAAAGGACAGTGGAGAGATGGCCAAGGGGCCTGAGAGAACCAGAGGGGAAGAGAAATATGAGACCAAGAGGGAAAGGTATTAGGAAGATGAGAAGAGGGATTTTGGAGGAGAAAGCAGCACAGGGGTCCTTGGGGGAGAAGTTACATTGGTGTGGGGGGAGATGGGGCTAGTTTTTTTTTTTTTAAATGGCATAGATTATTCATTCATATTTTAATGCAAATTTGTTTCTCTGATTATGGGCCATTGGTTATCCTTGTTTTCTTTTTAATTTTAAAATATGCAGAGAAATTGATAGGGAACTTTGTATTAGAAAGAATTTTAGTAATTTTAGGTGATACAAAGAGAAAAACATGGGAGGGAGAGGGAAGTTTGTGCATGCCTCTTAACCTCCAGGGGCCCTCTCTGTGGTCCCAAACAGCTGCAAAGTGGCTGTGCTGCAGGGTGATGCTGAACTCCAGCTGCGAGAGGCGACCCCTGGAGCCAAGCTCCCTGTGCCGGGATGCATCCAGCATGTAGCCCTGTGGATCGACACCGCTGCTGCTGTCATGATGTGACTAGTGTGGACCGAAGAGCTGGGTCAGCCCTTCCTGTCAGCCACTTAATACTGGAGAGAGACGGGGCAAGGAACTCCAGGGAAAGCAAGACATCCGCTGCCTGGCAAATGCAGGATCCTGAGTCCGATCCCTGATACTGAAAAAAAAAAAAAAAGCCCCCAGTTGGAGGGACCCCGAGCTGACAATGCTGTTGCCCACCTTGCCCCTCTGGGCTTGAGAGGAATGGGCCTCTGAGGCCACTGCAGTGCCACCAACCACTGGCAGCTTCACAGCCCTACACAAGCCTTAGGCTCCAAGTCCTTAGTTCCATGACTTGGCTGATCAAGAGAAGGCCAAGTAGAGTAACAGTAACTCACAGTCTCCCCCTCTAGCCCTTGCTGTGGGACTCTCCCCACCCCCTGTTCTTGTCAAGCAAAGTGTACACTCTTACCTCACGGGGTGTGCCGAGAAGGCCATACGTGTGAGAACCGCATGCAGCGCCTGGCACAGCCTAAGTGCGAGCTGACACTGTTCCTAGGCATTATAAAACCATGTTTAAAGCAGAAAGCAAAGCCAGGTGTGGCAGCACACAGCTGTAACCTTGGCACTCTGGGAGGCAGAGGCAGGAGGGTCACAAATTTGAGCCTAACTTGGGCAACTAATAGAACTAGTAGGACCCTGCCTCAAAATAAAATAATTTAAAAAATGGGCTGGGGATGTAGTTTTGAGCAAAAGCCCTGGCTGGGTTCAATCTCCAGTAATAAATAAAACAACAACAACAAAAAGCAAGGCAAGGCCCCGTGTGGTGGGAAGGGTCTAAAAATAGCCAAGAGCAACCTCGGTAGTGGCGGTAGCCCTTGGGATGAGAGATGGCTCATTCCAGACCTGCCCACTGCTGAGTCAGACTGCAAGGCAGGCTGGAGATGCGCTCAGCAAGCCCTGCAGGACTCCGGGGGAACCTCCATCCAGGTGGCTCCGGCTAGGAGGTTCCAGGCCCTCCCACACAGGCAGGACTTTATCTTTCCTACACTTCTCTTTCAGAAAGGTTCCCAAGATGGTCAGGTCTGACCCTTCCTGTCCTCCTCCCATCCGAAGGACAGCCCCAAGTCCCCTCTGCAGAGGACCACTGCTGGTGACTGTGGGTGGCCCCGATAATCCAGGTGTAAACCTATACCAGTTGCCACGTGAGCCGGCACAATGGGGCTTTCTCCAGAGGTGAAAGTAGTCCAGTGGCCCTTAAGAGTCAGAACTAATCCCGTGAGCCAGCTGCCTGCTAAGAAGTGAGGGCTAAGAAGCTGGGCCAGCTTGGGCTGACCTAAAAATCAGACCTAAGAAGTAAGATACATGGGACAAGGGCAGAGCTGTAGTCCCAGCTACCCTGGAGGATGAGAAACAGATCTCTTGAGCCCAGGAGTTCAAGGGCAACTTGGGCAACATAGTGGAACTTTGACTCAAAAGGAAAAAAAAAAAAAA